GTATTTTGTATATGTGTGTGGCTATTGTAAATGGGATTGCATTCTTGATTTTGTTCTCAGCTTGAATGTTATAGGTGTATGGAAATGCTACTGATCTTTTCATGTTGGTTTTGTATCCTGCAACTTTACCAAAGTCATTTATCAAATCTAGGAATCTTTTGGAGGAGTCTTTAGAGATTTCTAGGTATAAGATCATGTCATCAGCAAACGGAGATAATTTGACTTCCTTTTTTCCAATTTGGGTGTCATTTCTTTCTTTCTCTTTCCTAACTGCTCTGATTAGGACCTGCAGTACTATGTTGAATAGGAGTGGGAAGAGTGGGCATCTTTAAAGTTTACAGTTTTTAGGGGAAATGCTTTCAGCTCTTCCTCATTTACTATGATGTTGGCTATGGGTCTGTCATATGTGGCTTTTATTATTCTGAGGTATGTTTCTTTGATGTCTAGTTTGTTGAGGGTTTTTATCATGAAGGAATACTGGATTTTATCAAATGCTTTTTCTTCATCTATTGGATGATCATATGGTTTTCTTCATTCTGTTTATGTGATGAATCACACCAATTCTTTATATTTAAAATTGGGTAGAGAAGGAAAGAACTGAACATTTATCCTGCCTTTTCATTAGGACCCATGTTTGTGTATAAGTGAACAGACTTAGTTAATGGAGTCTACTCTATAGAAGGTGATCTAATAACTAAATGTAGGAAACCACCATTAAGCTACCCCATGGGATTATTAATTTAGGTGGGAATTATGTCTTGGCTGAAATACTGTCCTATCTGCCTCAGATGGGTGACTCATTCAGAGAGCCTGAATGGAAGAAGAGCTGTGATTCACCAGGAACATAGGAGAACAGCAAGGTGTCGTGCTTCCTGCTAAGGTACTAGCTAATGAACATTTGCTAAACGCATGTCTGTAAGGAAGGCAGATTTTGACCTGTGACTTTCATAATAAAGTTGTCAAGGAGTAGCTAATCCTCACCAACTTTTTTATGATTTCTGTTATATCCACCAAAAACAAAATAACAGCAAAACCCTGGGAGTCCTATGTGACCAGCCCAGTTTAGGTCAGTTCTCAGCAGCTGTCTGAGGGAAGATCAGGAGGACTGCAATTTTCTCACTGGGGGTGGCTCCTCTCCACAGACATCTGCAGCCTCTGCTCTCTCCACATTCCCAGGGGACACTGACCTGCCAGGGCTGCAGGCAGAGCCAGCTCAGTCTTTGCTGTCTAAATGCGGTCTAGAGTGCACTTCTCTTCCAGACCTTAGAGGAGAAATGATTATTTTTTAGTCCATCTAGTGTCTTCTCAGTAATCTGATGCAATTTCAGAGTATCCTCAGGTGTTGCAACAACCTGTGCTTCCTTGTTAAGGCTTGTAAATTCTCCATACAAATTAATCTAAGAAAACATCTGAGAAATCCAATCCAAAAGTGTAAAAACACAAAAGAGTAACTGAACCCAACTTGGAGTTCGGAATGGCGGAAATTCACCATTGCTGTGTGGAGTGGGGGAAGAGAGCTGACAAAACTGAGCTATGTCATGTCATAGTAAGCCAAGTGCAGTCAGAGGAGAATTATGAAACAAGAGGCCGTTGATTTCTCCATCACCCCCACACATGGGCCACTCTCACTGAGCATGCAGCCTGCAGTCACGCTGCCCGGTGCCAGGATTCCCACTGTCTAGGTTGAGAATGTTTGCTCGTGCAGGAAGAATTTCCCAATTGTTACCTCTGCCCCTTGAATTTATTGTAACAAAGAAAAGCACTGCCTCTGGAGCTGAAACCAACATGCCACTTACTGTTCACAACTAGTATGAACTTCATCTTGGAAGTGAGTCAGGACTCATTTGAGTCTCCTTTCTTTATATTTTGTCATTTAAATGAAAAGCATTTTGAGTTCTTGAGAGTTATTTTGAGAAAGAATGTTATATGGCAGTTTAAATTCTGAATATATATTGCTGGGCTTTTAAAGTAATCAAGTTCTGCATCAACCCAATCTTTGAGTTTTCACATTTTACTTATCACCTATGATTACTTTAAATGCTGACTCTCTAATGGTTAATGCATTTCCATTGCCAGCAGTGTTCTCCACTAATACACATCAAAATCCTAAGGCAATGATTTCTGAAATTATACTAAAGAGACCAGATCGGATTTCCAGTCTTTAAGATGAAACATTATCATGCATACTGCTCTCATAGTACAAACCAAACATTTACCAAATGTGACAATGTATTTCACCTGTCTCTGGAAGACAAGCTCAGGAAATTCCCAGGATGAAAGAGCAGCAAGAGCTTGCCCAGGGCCTAGGAATTAGCCTTGCCTGGGAAGTCTTCCACCTCCAAAGTCCAGAGAAAAACAATTTAAATAACAGGTCAGTCTCCTTTTGATAAGGCTTTTGCTTATAAGCTGAATTCCGAGGTGTTCTGAGTGCGCTTTTTGCTAACAAAAGACATTGGATATGGTAAACTTAAAGCAACCAAGAACCATTAAAAGCTGTTGTTCTGGGCTGGGTGCAGTGGTTCATGCCTGTAAGCCCAGCACTTTGGGAGGCCGAGGCGGGCAGATCACAAGGTCGGGACTTCGAGACAAGCCTGGACACCATGGTGAAAACCTGTCTCTACTAAATAAAAATACAAAAATTAGCTGGGCTTGGTGGTGTGCACCTGTAATCCCAGCTACTCAGGAGGCTGAGGCAGGAGAATTACTTGAACCTGGGAGGTAGAGGTTGCAGCGAGCCAAGATGGTGACACTACACTCCAGCCTGGGCAACACAGCAAGACTCCATCTCAAACAAAACAATGCAAAAAGACCCAAAAACTCTTGTTCCGGAATGTAGTTTATCATGACTGGTCTCAATGCTATGTGAAATTAGGAATCAAATTCTGACAGCAGAAAAAGTCTCACATCCTTTCCTACTGCTTCTACTCAGGTGCCTTTTGCATTCTTGCCTTCATCTTTGCAAGCGCTCAGGGCTCTGTGCGGAAAGAGGAAGTGCGACAGTTAAAAGCTTCCAGTGACCTGTAAGCTGGCCAAGTGTCGTTCAGTCCTTTCCCCAGTGAGTCCTTCGTCACTCCCTCTCAGGCCCAGTCAGAAGCTGCGGCCCTGAGGGAGCAGACTCCGCACCACTCCTGCACCTGTGCCTGCTTTGACTGCATTTGCACACTCGCAGGATTGCCTCAGCTCGGACGCAGGTTTTGGCCAGCAGGAATGACCTTACTGGCCTCTGTCTCTCCATATTCTCTCCTCGGGAGTACCAGAAAAGTCCACGGAACCAAACTGTTGCCTTGGTTTCTATCAGGGCCTGTTCCTGCTCGAATCCCCTGCAGTATCTGCTCCTGGTCCCTGGTGCTCTGCAAGCTTCCACCGGGGCTGACCGACAAGGGCATGCCTTCAGGGAGCTGGCCAATCTCTGAAATGGAGGTGGGAAAATCCCCTTGCTTCTTACCCAGCACTAAAGCCTAGCAGGTTGGGAGTTTTTCCAACGTGATGAAAGGAAGAGAAAGACCTCAAGCCAAAAATCCTTGACAGTGGCTGACTCCACAGGGATAGGCCAAGGGTGAAGGAGACCTATGAGGGCTTCAGCTGCTGCACTTTACGCCCTGTGTCTCTGTGGAGTTAGAATGTCTCGCAAGTATTATTACTTGTATGATAAAGTAGAACAAGTGGTTTTAACTTAATTTAACCAATAGCTCTTCATGCTAGTTTTTTTCACCACGCTCAGCTGTACTTAACTGTGGAAGCTGAGCCTGTTGGAGCTGTGGTGTGGCCAGGTTCCTGTAGAGTCTGTCCTGACGTGGTCCCAGCTGCAGTGTGGCAGGAGCAGCGTCCCCAGACAGGTGTGTGCCCTGGCCTTGCCAAATATAGGTGTTTCACAGCTTCACAACCTGTCCCCTTGTCTATAAATGCCCAGCTTGCTCCACAGTGCTGTGAGAGGCCCAGATAGAACACATATGACAATGCTTTGTGAACTGTATAGCACCCTAAAAAGAAAATAAAAGTGACAGAAAATGAAGCCAGGTGCAGTGGCTCACGCCTGTAATCCCGGCACTTTGGGAGGCAGGCAGATCACTTGAGGCGAGGAGTTCGGGACCATCCTGGCCAACATGGCAAAACTCTGCCTCTACTAAAAATACAAAAATTAGTCGGGTGTGGTGGCGCATGCCTGTAATCCCAGCTACTTGGGAGGCTGAGGCAGAAGAATCACTTGAACCCAGGAGGTGGAGGTTGCGGTGAGCTGTGATTGCACCACTGCACTCCAGCCTGGGCCACAGAGCGAGACCCTGTCTCAAAAAAAAAAAAAAAAAGAAAAGAAAAAAAGGTGACAGAATATGGACCCTTGAGGGAGACTGCACCTCACAGACTTCCCCTCTGCTCAGCATGGGCTTCCCTGCTGCCCTCATCTGCCACCACATAGAGAATGGGAAACTGTAATCAGATTCAAGTTGGATTTTTTTTTAAACCCTAAGTTAACTGTATAATGTGAAATAAGAAGTCAGGACTATGCTCTTAGGATATTTTCAGTCATTTGGTCAGACTTCTCTGGAGCAGCTCCTAGTTAATGGCTCCATCCCTCCCCTGAAAGTTGATTCCTCCATCCGAGCACCTAATGTTGTGCTGGACCACAGGATCAGCCCATTCCTGTGGGACTGCGGTCTCAACAGCTTTCTCGGGAAAGCAGCACAATTCTTAGATCACCACAGGAATCACCTGTGCAACCTTTTACAGATGGAGAAAGAGAAGCCCAGAACACTCACGTGACTGGCCTGAGTCTCAGTGACTGAGGGGCATTTCTATTAATAACACTTGCCCATAAGAGAAGGAACGCATTCTGCGTAGCTGGACTGTCGATGCTTTCCAGAAAACACTGGCCTTCCAGCTCTGCATTTCCTCCAGCCATCTTCATAGTTTTCAAGGAGTTCCATTTTCACCTATAATTGTCTTTTCATATATACTGTTCTGCAGTTTCCTACGGAATGCAACAAGATATTTAATCATACTCATTTAACAAATATTTAAATCATTTATTGCCATTAAGTTACAGCATCTCAATATACACACTGCATGGAAATACACAGATAACGTTTCTAAACAGTGGGGACAAGATTTTAGGTACATGGCCAGCTGTTGGTTGTCTTGTGGTCATTAAAGACAATGTCAAGAATTAGGAGTACTTAAGTGCTGGTAGTTACAAATTTTGTTCTCTTCAGTTTTTCATTAAGTAAATTCTAATAGATAATATACATATTACTGCAGAAAAAACCATCGTCAGAAATTATTAAATTAATTGCATATTTTGAGCTACTCTTTATGGAAAGAAGTAAAATATTTCATACTTGTAAGGCAGCAGAGAGTTGGTTTAGAGACTCTCAGCTATGTCTATAAAAATAGAATGGTTAGTAAAAATAGCATTCAGTGTATTTTCCTTAGTGAGGCTATTTATAATGAAATCTGTGACTCAGCAGCAGCTGGCAATGCTGTCCCTTCAAGACCTTGTTCTTCATTTTCCATTGTTATGCAGATGCCTTTTTAGTCATCCTGGAAAGAAACAAAAAGAAAAATTCAATGAGAAACAAAATTTCAATGCCAATCGCAAGGGCTTTGGATGGCTTTAAAAAGACACTTTTACATAACATTTATTTCAACTTCCAGCTTAAAAAACAGTAATATAGGCTGGGTATCCCTCATCTGAAATGCTTAGGCCCAGACATGTTTCAGATTTTTTCAGATTTTGGAATAACTGGATTATACCAGTTGAGATCCCTAAACTGAAAATCCAAAATCTGAAATGCTCCAATGAGCACTTCTTTTGAGTGTCATGTTGGCACTCCAAAAGTTTCATATTTTGGAGCATTTCAGATTTCTGGATTTGGGATGCTCAGCCTGTATCCTACTTCATGTTAACTTGCATGTTTTATTAAGTGGTTTCCCCAACTGCTAAAGCACATCTATACACACTCCAGTCCCCAAGTACTCCCTCAGACGAGAGTTTAGTTTCATTCACCCCAATTCCTCAAATTCCTGAAAAGAAAATAGCTAAATTGAAATCTGCTTACTCGTATTTGATAAGCCGTCCTCCCTGGATGAGCTGGGCTACTTCATTTGTTGCGTGGCATGCAAACAGAAGCCAGTTCCGAGGCTGTACCTTGTAGGCAAATCTCATGAATGTCAAAGAATAGCAACAGAGGGCTGCCAAAAATAGCAGAGCAAAGATAATCAATAACTTAGAAAACTGAGAGAGTTGATAGGACCACAGAGATGAACAGTTCCATTGCCTTGATCAAAAAAGAACCTCTTCTGCAAAAGCCTTTGACAGATAAAAGTTGTTACTTAAATGCCTGTATGAATAGGAAACTCATAAAAAATTTTACTGTACTGCTATGCATTTTTGTTAATTATTTAAACATTTAAGGAACATATTTCAGAGCAAGAGTAGGCTGAAATTCATTCTAGCCACTTTTTCTTTTATCTTCTAGAGTTGCTTATAATCCATTCATTATTGGAAATAATTATTTATTCCCTCCACAACAGTTTTATGTTCAAATATCAGGGTTTCAAGTAAGTTTAATAACACTTTCTCCCCAAAAAGTTCACAATATAAATCATTAGAGTGACTATTAGAATGATTAAGATGACACATTCTTCAGTTGGTTGTGCCAAATCTGAAAGGCAAATAAGATGTTACTACTTCCTAGATAAATATTTCTAATTAATCTTGTTTCTTACTCACATGGAGAAGTAACACTCTTCCATGCCATCACATTCTGTATGTGACTTTCTAATAGTGACTGTAACATCTGGTGCTACAATCTTGAAATGCAAGCAGGCACTCTACTATGTTGAAAGTCCTCCCAATTATCGAAATCTGCATTCTTACCAAATGTCATCCGCCCACTGATAATCTCTGGAGACTTTTTCATGTCATTGATGGCAGCAATGGGAAGACCCCAGTTGGCTACCGGGCCCCAGAAGTGCTACAAAAAATGAGAGGAAAAGAATGGAGAGAGGAAAAAGTTAAGACAGAACTATAAACAGCTGAAATTTTCCTTACTTTAAATAATCATGTGAAACTCGTGAAAACAAATCTTCGTTTCCATTTTGCAGGTTTACTGAGTTAATTGATGGTTAACATTCAGGTATTGGATTGTCCAAGTGTTCCCATAGGAATCAGCAGTTCTTACAGGTGAGCCCAGAGCTAGAAAGGGTTTGGCAGCTTCCCAAGGTCCCTGCTGGTTTCCACACTACAACCAAGTCGTCTCTGATTGTCCCATTTAGAAAATTTAAAAATAAGATTAACTTCTTACACAATTCATTGTTGCTATAATTCAAACCCTGTTAGAACTATTCTCTATAATTTTTATGTTTAAATCTATCCACACTCCTTTTCCCAAATTTTCATTAGGATATTTGTTAATAATTCTTAAAATGCAGACCGTAAATTGGGTACTTTTCTGAAGAAAGAAGCTTAATAAGAGAATAAATTGTTTTTCAGCTCATATGAGCTATTCTAAGTTAAAAGAACTTGGAAATCAATACCCAGGACCCCAGACGCTAAGAAATTAAGATTGGAAAGTACTTTTGACATAATAGCAAAAACTTACATTAATATTAAAGAAATGAACCAATAGTTTTGCATTCTACAACTATACTCATTCAAGGATACCAAAGTGAAGTTGTCTGTGTTTGACAGCAGCCACAATCAATTTTAGAGGCTGAAATAAAACAAGGTTTGTGGCTTTTGTTCATTAAATGAAAAATTGTTTCATTAATTTAGAATTTGGAAATAATATTTCCAAACCTGAAAGAAACCACATCTTGTTGGCTAAACACCCCTTTTAGTTATCCCAACACGAAAGAGTAAAAACAGTCTTTGCTTGACTTCTGCCTATCATAATGTTTAGGTTAAATTCAGACTGTTAAATACGTTTCTAGACTTTGCTTCTATTATTGACGAGGGGTTAAAATACAAAAATTCCCTAAAAAGTGGTAAACCAAGGGAAATATAGGAAAAATAAATGGGAATTAGATTTGGCATAATAGAGTATTTTAAAATGGTTACTTAACATGTAAGCCACAAGGTCATTGAAATAACTATAAAAGGTCAAAGTTCCCATATAGCCATCACGATAAGTATTTCAGGGTTTAACATGTGAGTTATAAACTCTGTAAATTAGGCACAATTGGTTTAAAGAATCTTGAGATTCTGGGCTGGCTAATTAGTCCTCTTGCGTTCAGACTAGATATTATCTAAGATACTCACTATTGCAACTTTCACTTAATTTCTTACATTTAGATGAGGTGGCTAGTGGCTTGCAAATTGGACAGCACGACTTTAGAGGAAATATTTCTTTGAAAATGACAAGTTGGGTTGGATGCAGTGGCTCACACCTGTAATCCCAGCACTTTGGGAGGCCAAGGCGGGTGGATCATGAGGTCAGGAGTTCAAGACTAGCCTGGCCAACATGATAAAGCCCTGTGTCTACTAAAAATACAAAAATTAGCTGGGTGTTGTGGCAGGTGCCTGTAATCCCAGCTACTTGGGAGCCTGAGGCAGAGAATTGCTTGAACCTGGGAGGTAGAGGTTGCAGTGAGCCGAGATTGCACCACTGCACTCCAGCCTGGGCAACAGAGTGAGACTCTGTCCAAAAAAAAAAAAAAATGACAAGATGACGAGTTGGAGAGAAGTGCACTCCTGCAGAATTCTATTAACAATGACCTTTAATTTCTTATATTTAGATGAGATATGGCCAGTTTTCTTTTTTCCTTATTCCCCAGACTCTTTTAAGGGAGAGTATCTATCTCTCCCTTACCTACTTCTTTTCCTACCTGTCCTGTTATTTGGTGTCACTTCATTTTTCACCTCTCTATTATTCCATAGTGATCTATCTTTTCTTCTTGTTTTGACCAGGCCTTTCTCCACTTGGTCTATTTTCATCTCCTTTTCCGTTTACTCTCTTTCCATTCCTCTGCACTATATGGTGGTGTTGCTGTCTACTTTATCATGCATGAACCCAGGGCTGTGACAAAGCCTGAAGAGTTATTCTAAGAGGGGCATATAAACCAGTTTCTCTACCACCAGTTGTGAATGTGTCTTCTTTCATAGGTGAGGGTAAAGCAGAAATGGACAATGGAATAAATCTAAACCTAAAGTAGCCCTGGGAGATTCCTGGCTAAGTGACGGTATTAAAAGTTTAAGTGTGGGCTGGGCGTGGTGGCTCACACCTGTAATCCCAGTACTTTGGAAGGCTGAGGCAGGCGCATCATGAGGTCAAGAGTTCGAGACCAGCCTGACCAATATGGTGAAACCCCATCTCTACTAAAAATACAAAAATTAGCTGGGTGTGGTAACTCACACCTGTAATCCCAGCTACTTGGGAGGCTGAGACAGGAGAATCACTTGAACCCGTGAGGCAGAGGTTGCAGCCAAGATCGTACCACTGCACTCTAGCCTGGGCAACAGAGCAAGACTCCTTCTCAAAAAATAAAAATAAAAAACTAAAATAAAAAGTTTAAGTGTGATGAGTGTTAGGTTATAGGAAACAGAGTTCTGCAAGTTAAGAACTATACATACACTTATGGCTGTAAATGTTGAGCTATACTGAAAATATATTAAGAAGAACACAAAAGGTAAAGACAATTTTAACACTAGTTTGCTAAAATATCTAACCTTAGAAAGTTTATAATGCATCTTTTCTATCTAGTACATGATTCTAGTTCTCTCTTCCCTTTTTTAGAATATGATTGATTTATGCTCTGTCAGATATTCAGCAATTTTGAGAAAAATAAGGAACTTTATTAAAATTCAAAAAGAAATTAACATATGTTGGATTAAACATTTTACTTCATTATAATTCTTAATTGTGCTGAAAAGAAAGTTCCAATAGAATTGCACACCACCACTTCCTGCGTGAAATCAAGCCATGGAAATGAACTCTACCCTACAGGAAAAAATCATCCCACCTTTCTTTTCCTGCTTTCTCTTTTTCTTTCTCTGTTTCCTTTCATCGTTGCCAGGCTCCACTGTGACTGTTATCAATGAAGTAATTATATGCTTGTTTCTGAAAACAGGAGTAGGGAGCAGCCCCAGGAGCATGGCTCTCACAGAGCTCATGTCTAGGCTCCCTAGGACAGGCCAGGGTGCAGTAGGCACCCTTCGCAACCTGCCAGCCATGGCGACCTAGAGAGGCTCTCACAAGCAAAGGACACTAAGTCTGTTGTCCATAACTCTGTTAATGCAGAAAGTCTGCAAAAGCCTGAAATGGATGGAAATAATTTTCTTACCGTACTATTTTGTGAAGAGTCACCGAAGTTCAGACAGGAGAGACATGGGGAAAAAAAAAAAATCAAATGATTTTGGTCTTATTAGGTTACTGCAACCTCACACCTGTATTCAAATTTCAGTAACAGGACTACAATGTTAACAGAGTACATTCTTTCATTATTTTTAAAAGATCAAGTAATATCATTTCTAATAAGAACGTTGACTTAATGAAATTAGATCTTAATTTTATGGAAAGTAAGTGCAATCCTTAGAGCAGAACTATCCAGTAGAAATATAATGCAAGGCACAAATACAAGCCACATATGTAATTTAAAACTTCTAGAAGCCACATTAAAAAAAGTAAAAAGAAGGCCATGCACAGTGGCTTATGCCTGTAATCCCAGCACTTTGGGAGGCTAAGGCAGGAGGATTACTTGAGGCCAGGAGTTCACTATTAATCTGGGCAACATAGTGAGACCCCATCTATACGCAAATATATTTTAAAAATTAGCTGGGCATGGATGGTTTGTGCCTCCAGAGGATTGTTTGAGCCCAGGAGTTCAAGTCTGCAGTGAGGTATGATCACACCACTGTATTTCAGCCTGGGCAACAGAGCAAGACCTCGTCTGGAAAAAAAAAGAAAAAAAAAAAGAAAAGTAGAAAAGTAAAAAGAAACCACAGAAATTACTTGTATTAATAGTTTACTTAATCCACATGTATGCAAAAAAACATTTTAATTTCAAAATATAACCAATAAAAACTATTCATTAGAACTTTTACATGCTTTTTCTTACAATTCTTTGAACTCTAGTGTGTATTTTACACTTACAGCACATCTCAGCTTGAACTAGTCACATTTCAAGTGCTCAGTAGCCACCTGTGGCTAGTGGCTCTCAAACTGGACAGCACAGCTTTCGAGGAAATATTTCCTTAAAAGTGCCAAGTTGGAGAGACGCATACTGCTGCAGAATTCTATTAACAATGAAACTTTCCCTTCTGCTTACTAACACATTGCATCAGAATGTGAACCCCTGGAGGAATGTATTTTTTGTTACTACTGGACTACTTAAAGTAGTGCCTGGCATTTAAATTAGAATTTTAAAAATACCTGTTGAATGAATGAATGAATAGTAAAAATGTCAGTGCTGTTTTCCAGAATGTTAAACTTAAAAATACACCAAAAACTTATATTGAGTTACTGTTATTTCTGAAATAGCAATTTCTCTTGCCCGGATATACCTGAGCTCTTCTCTTAGGGCAAAATCTCAAAGTTGAGCTACTGAAGGAGTTATTGAAATAAAATAATAAAATTGAGCAGTACAGCAGGGGGAAAAATGAAATAAAATCCTTTATAAACACACGCAAGTCCAAAGAATTCTACTAGTTGTTTTGTTTTAGAGAGCAGAGATTATAATTTGTAACATGAAAATAATCGTTGATGGTGCCAATAATACAGTAGTCCCCCTTATCCGCAGAGGATGCATTCTAAGACCTCCAGTGGATGCCTGAAACCATGGATAATATGGAACCCTATATATACTATGTCTTTCTCCTATACATACATACCTATGATAATGTTTAATTTATAAATTAGGCAGAGTAAGAGATTGACAACAATTACTAATAATAAAACAACAATTACAACAATAAACTGATATAAAAATTTTGAGAATGTGGTCGCTTTCTCTTTCAAAATATTGTAATATTTTCTTGGACCACAACTGGCCTTGAGTGGCTGAAACTACAGAAGGCGAAACTGCAGATGAGAGGGTCCTACTATGTGCTTCAGATAGGTTATATTATGAAATGTATATCATTCATATATAATTATATATACAAATGTAATTATCCAAATTATATTTCACACCAAGTGCAAACTGACCACAATGCTTTATAGCAGAGAGATTGATAACCTTACTGGATCAGACAGCACAATCTAGCTAGAACGGTCACCTACAGCATTGCTCTCCTTAAAATACCTTTGTCAGTATCTGAACACTGGCCCTTTAGATAACTATGAATAACCAAGGGCACATTTCTTCCCTATAAAAATATTTTAAAGGATGTAGTACTTACAATGTAAAGTTTCAACTTGGACATAACTTAGTTTTTCCTTTAGGACTCTCTCCTTAAATCATACAACAGCTCAATTATACCCTATTTTACAACAGAAGACCTTAGTATAGATTACAAATGTATGAGAATAAAGGAGAATTACCTTCTGCCTTCATACCCTGCTCAATTCAAAAGTCCTACGTGAATATAATCACATTAATTACTGTAAATCTGAGAGGAAAGTCAGTTTAAATATGTCTGTTAAATACAAAACACTACAACTCATCATCCCTCAATTCTAAATCAGGACTTTCTAGAAGGCATGAATCAATGACTCAATCAAAATATCTGAAAAGCATATTTGTGCAGAACCAAATTAGAAAAAAAAATGCTTCCAAATATGTATTATTACCTGTTTCAAAAAAAAAGATAAATTTATAAGCCACATATAAACTGCAATTTGGGGACAGTAATGCAAAACCATTTAGAAAATATTCTTGATTTTCTCTTTATTTGGTATGCTGCCTTTATTTTCAGTAAAAAAGCAAACAAACACAAAACTCATAGATTTTCTTGGGTTCACTTATGATTTTCAATTCTCATGGAGGAGAAACTGTATTTCCAGTTAAAAATTAAGTATTCCGTTTTTTAAAAAAATAAACTTTATTTTTCAGAGAAGTTTTAGGTTCACAGTAAAATTGAACCCAAGTACCTCCCATATACACCCAGTCCCAAAACATGCACGCACTCTCCCATTATCTACATCTGCCGCCATGGTGTATTTATCATAATCACGAAACTTACATTGACACAGGATTGTTACCCAAAGTCCATATCTACATTAGGGTTCACTGTTAGTGCTGTACATCCTGTGGGTTCGAACATATAATACCATGCATCCATCATTACAGTGTCTTACAGTAGTTTCACTCTCTAAAAGTCCTCTGTGCTCCACCTAAACCCTCACAACCACTGATCTTTCGACTGTCTCTGTAATTTTGCCTTTTCCAGAACGTCATGTAGTTGGAATCAGGTAGTATGCAGCCTTTTCAGACTGGTTTCTTTCATGCAGTAATATGTATTTAAGTTTCCCTCATGTCTTTTCGTGGTTTCATAGCTCATGTTTTAGTGCTGAATAATATTCCATTGTCTGGATGTACCACAATTTATTTTGCCATTCACCTGCCAAAGGACATCTTGTTTGCTTCCAAGTTTCGGCAATTATGAATAAAACCTCTATAAAAATCCACATGCAGGTTTTTGTGTGGACCTAAGTGTTCAGCTCCTAGGGGTAAATACCAAGGAGTATGTAAGAAACTGCCAAACTGTTTTCCAAAGTGGCTGTATGATTTTGCATTCCTACCAGCAATGAATGAGAGTTCCTGTTGATTCACATCCTCATCAGCATTTGCTTTAGTCAGCGTTCTGCCTTTTGGCCTTTCTGATAGATATTTAGTGGTATCTCGTTTTAATTTGCATTTCCCTGATGACATATGATGTAGAACAGTGGTGTCCAATCTTTTGGCAGAGCATATTTTCATATGCTTATTTGCCATCTGAACACGGTGAGGTATCTGTTTAGGACTTCAGCCCATTTTTAATTGAGCTCCTTTCTTATTATTGAGTTTTGTTTTTGTGGTTTTTGCTGGCTTGTTTTGAGAGGGAGTCTTGCTTTGTTGCCCAGGATGGAGTGCAGTGGCATGATCTTGGCTGACTGCAATCTCCACCTCCCAGGTTCAAGTGATTCTCCTGCCTCAGCCTCCCAAGTAGCTGGGATTACAGGCATCCGTCACCACACCTGGCTAATTTCTGTATTTTAGTAGAGAATTAGGTAGAGGTTTCACCATGTTGGCTAGGCTGGTCTCAAACCCTTGACCTCAAGTGACCTGCCTGCCTTGGCCTCCCAATGTGCTGGGATTACAGGCGTGAGCCACCACACCTGGCCTTATCATTAAGTTCTTTGTATATTTTGGAAAAGTCCTTTATCAGTTATGTCCTCTGCACATATTTTCTCCTATCTTTTCATTCTCTTGACAGCATCTTTCACAGAGCAAAACTTTTTAATTTTTACGAAGTCCAGCTTATCAATTATTTCTGGGATCATGCCTTTGATCTTGTATCAGAAAAACTGGTCATCAAACCCAAAGTAATTTAGATTTTCTCCTAAATTATCTGCTAGGAGTTTTATAGTTTGTGATGTACATTTAGGTCTGTGATTCTTTTTGAGTGAATTTTTGTAAATAGTATAAGGTCTGTGTCTACATTCGTTTCTTCTTATTTTTTTTGCAATTGCATGTCCAGTTGTTCCAGCACTATTTGTTGAAAAGACTGTCTTTGCTACATTGTTTTGCCTTTGCTCCTTTGTCAAAATTTAGTTGATTTTGTTTATGTAGGTCTACTTCTGGGCATTTCATTTTGTTCCATTGATTGATCTGTCTATTCCTTTGCCCATACCACACTGTCTGGAGTACTGGGGCTCTACAGTAAGTTTTAAAGTTAGGTAATGTCAGTCCTCCAACTTTGTTCTTCTCCTCCAACACTGTGTTGGCTGTTTTCAGGTTTACTGCCCTGTCCATTTAAACTCCAAAATCTGTGTGTTGATATCCACAGAATAACGTGCTGGGACTTTAACTTTCACCTATTCACTTAAAAAATGTACTTTATGGCTTCTCTTTGGCATATTCAAAGTAGTCTTGTACATCACTAGTCTTGTACTTTGGGGCCATCATTAAATAAAATAAGGGTTACTTGAACAGAAGCACTGCAATACCACGACAATCTGACAAATGAGATGGCTAAGTGACTAGGTGGCATGACTAAGTGACTAACAAGTAGGTAGCATCTACAGCATACAGATGGTGGACGAAGGAATGGTTCATGTTTCAAGAAGGACAAAGTGGGATGGCATGAGATTTCATCACGCTACTCAGAATGACACAAAATTTACAATTTATGAATTGGTTGTTCCTGGAACTTTCCACTTAGTATTTTCAGACCTTAGTTGGCCACAAGCAACTGAAACTGCAGAAAGCAAACTGTGGATAAGGTGGGTGGAGAGCTACTGTATTTCCTTTCTTCTGCTTATTTTCATTCTAATTTGCTTTTTTTGTTTTTTTGTTTTTTATTTTTTAGTTTTGTAAGGTGGAGGCTTAGATTATTGATTTTAGAACCTTCTTGTTTTCTAACATATGCATCCAATGCTATAATTTCTCTCTAACCACTGCTTTAACTGTATCCCACAAATTCTGATAAGTTGTGTTTGCACTTTTATTTAGTTCAAAATATTAAAAAATTTATCTTGACATTTCTTCTTTGATCCAGAGTTATTTAGAAGTGTGCTGTTTAATCTCCAAGTATCGGGGATTTTCCAGCTATCTTTCTGTTAGTGACTTCTAGTTTGATTCCAAAGCACACACCATATGATTTCTAGTCTTTTAAATTGGTAAAGATGTGTTCTATTCTCCAGAATATAATTTATCTTGGTGAGTGTTCCATGTGAGCTTGAGAAGAATGTGTATTCTGCTGCTGTTACATGTAGCAGTCTACTGAGGTTCATCATATCCAGCTGTTGATTCATTGTTTTGTTGAGTTAAATTATGTCCGTACTGATTTTCTGCCCGCTGGGTCTATTTATGATGGAGGGGTGAAATCTCCAATTATATTAGTGGATTCATCATTTTTTCTTGCAATTCTATCAGTTTTTGCCTCATGTGTTTTAATGCTCTAATGGTGCATACACATTAAAGATTGTTACCTGTATTAGGGCTCTCCACAGAGACAGAACTAATAGAAGATGTAGAAGATGTATAGCTATAGATACATATACATGTACATGTGTATATATGTATAATTGTTAATGGAAATTGGCTTATGCTGTTATAGAAGTAATAAGTCTCATAAGCTGGAGAATCAGTAAAGCCAGCACTGTAACTCAGTCTGAATCCAAAGGCCTGTGAACTAGGGGAGCCAATGGTGTAACTCAGTCCGAGGCTAAAGGCCCTGAGAACCTGAAGGGCCACTGGTGTAAATCCTAGAGTTCAAAAGCCCAATAACCTAGTGTTCTGATGTCTGATGGCAGAAGAAAATGGATGTCCAAGCTCCAGAGGAGAAAGCAAATTG